TGAAATTAACAATTGATAATCTGCCTTAAAAATGTTTTACAACACTTGAAACTATTCTCTCAGATTTAAGTGTAAATTTTGGCCAAGAAAACTAACAGACACTAATGAGAGAAAAAAAATGTACATTTTGTTTTTAAATAAAAATATTTTACCCCCCTTTTCAAATCTCATTACATTCCTCTTATTTTTCACTTGACTTCTCTTGGCCATTTTATGTCTCATTTCTTTTGCTGCTTCCAATAACTTTGAGCTAGATGTGACAAGTTATATTTACAAGCTGTGAAAGCCATGGCAGGAATTTTCCAGTGTGGACTGATCTTCAACAGAGCTGGCTTACATCTCCCCAAACCAACCCTCCGTAATCCTACTTTGTCCCACGTAGTTTCAACCTCATCAGAGCTTTACCTTTCAAGCTGACACCTTAGTGCTTATTTCTTAGTGACAATCTCAGTTTTTGTCTGATGGAGAGCATATTAAAATGGTACAGTAGAATTATTTTAGGATAGGCTGATATCCAAGAAGACAGGCATCATGCAATTATTTCAATGCTGACAAGAAATGCGTGGGTACCTGTCTCATTTTTCTGATTCAGTTGCTGACAGGGCTCTAAAAGAAGCTTCAGTTCTTTGTGAGAATTCTTTTTAGTTAAGATTTTAAAAACAAATTTCCCCATTTTTCTTGTGTTTTTATAATGAATTTTACATAGAGAACAAAAGTGTTAGGGGAAAATATCTATAAAAGCTTTAAAAATCTTAACCTATCTAAACACAGAATAAGTAAAAATGATATAAATTAGACTAAGCAAATACCTCCGAATGGAGATTTTTCAAAATAAATTTTTAGTGCTTTTCCTAATTTTAACATTATTCAAATTAGACGTGTCCAATATCAATAAGAATTTTCCACTAACTTCACTGTACCACCCCTTTGTGTTAAGAAAGAGACAAAAGACATTTATGACAGTTTATTTTTAGATATTGATCATCTCATCTTGCTGCAAAGGGAATAAAAATAATTAAAATGGAGTGAAAAGTCATTTTAAGCACAGCATATTTCAAAGCATAAAATTGCTCAGATGAGAGTTCTTGAAAGCCTGGTAATAAATGCATGCCCTACATATTTTTTAAAGTCTATACCTTACTTATTCAAATTGTCCTTTTGAGAGTCAGCTAAATTGAATTCCTATATTTAGGTACTTCATATGATTCCAAATAAACCTTTGGTTGCTATATATGTATAAAATGCATGGGTGAGACAATCTGTTGGATGTTAACTATATGTAATTTATTTTAAAATATAATTTCAGGATTTGTTTAGGACCGGTTCTTTTGTTCAACTTAAACTAACATTTCTTCAGTGTGGAAAAAAATTCCTTCCTTTCTGATATCTTAAATTTCCTTTTAGATATTTGGAAAATGTAGAAAAGTAAAGTATGCTCAAAGATTCACTATCTAGAATCAAACAGCTAACTATTCTGTCTCAGAACTTTATCAGTCCTCATTCCTATTAGTACTATGGGCAGAAACAGAACACACAGCTCAGAAAACCCTAGATTGCATCATTTCCATCAGAAAAACAGTGTGGTAATTCAGAGATAATTTTTGTAGATACATTTTGTTAGCATTAGATATATGTATGGTATTTCAGGAAATACTTTATGTTAGCCTAGAATATGGTTATGAGAATCAATAATCTCTTATTATATATTTTTCCTTTTTTATAGCACTGAGGCTTGAAGTAGAGCCATATATATATATATATATATATATATATATATATATATATGTGTGTGTGTGCGTGCGTGTGTGTGTGTGTGTGTGCGTGTGTGTGTGTGCGTGCGTGCGTGCTCTATCACTGAGCTATGTCATCAAGCCCTAATAATCTTATTTTAACTAGTGAAGAGAGATTTAAAGTGTTGGGTACCACTAGGTTTAGGTTTATTTTTTTAATATGAATAACAAAAACAGAATGGAAACATTCTCACATGAGAGTTAATAAAGAGTAACACTTAGTTCTTTTTTCTCTATTTCTTTCTTTGCAAAAGACAAATGAACATCTGCCGGCCACAGAGGATAATTCTGTTCAATCAATTTATTTTTAACCAATAGTATATATGAACTAAGAAAGACACTGTTTCTGTCTTCAAGTTTATCATCTGATGAAAGTTAGATATTGTTATTCATAGGATATAACTGTCCCAAAAGGTGTGTGAAATGCTATGCACAGAACGATGAGGAACTCTACCTCTGCTCACACAATAGTGAATTATGCATCAAAACAGAGGATAAAAGAGCATAATGCAAGTGATTAGTTTAATCTTTTCAGAAAAAGTTAAACAATGAATGTGTGGGAAAGTAAAAGACCAACAGCAAGGTGTCACACTTAATTTAAACCATAGCAGGAACAGCATTACAATAAAGATTCAGTATCGAAGAAGACATAAACACTTGTGAGAAATCAGAAAAGCTTCATGAATGAAGTAGCATTTCTCAAAGTTCTTAAAGGATAGGACATAATTTTAATAAGGCATAGATGAAAGCTACACAGGGCATATTGTACAGAGGTATCATAAGATGAGTAACTAAACTAAGATCTGTTTCACTAACGATAATTTATCTGTATGAGTTAGAGTACTGTTAATACACATGGGAGTTCTTGAGCTGGAATGCCATCTTAGCTCCTTTGAATCCCATAGGAAGGAATTAGCAATTCATTTTTAAATAACAAAATGGGCTTAGATTTGTGTTGACTAGTTGTGATTAAAACAGGATGTCATCACATTATTATTAAGAGGAAATTACACTTAATGTTTCTTTTAAGGAACAACAGAACTAGGTACAAGTTTGGAATGTGGAAAAAACCCAAGAACATAAGATTTTGTTCTAAAGTAGATGACACATCAAACAGGACATGTGATGGGAAAATGAGAATGAGGTAGAAGTAGTTGTGACAAATGTCATGAGCTACCAAATTTTAAAATACAGAAGCTGGTAATGTATGAGCAAAATGTCCTAAGAGGGCACACCATATCGTCTAAACAGAGTATATAGTGGGTGGAGGGAACAAAAAGTCCTTCTGTGTTCTAAGTACATTTGGAGCATTTTAGTAATTTTATGTTTGGTCAAGACAGTATGTACTTAAAATTCAGCCTGTACAATAATGTCTTCTCTAGTCTACTTAATGTTTTCTAATCTCTAAATTGCAAAACTTAAAACTAATTATTGCCTCATAATAACATACTGAAGGAGAATGTTCGACTAAAGAACAAAGTTATTTGAAAAGTCCTATTGAGAATACCAACAAGTCTTTGAGGGCAATAAGAGAATGGAGTATGTTTTATATAAAGTAACTGTCAATAGCAGACATTCATGAAATCTGCTGAAAAGCAAGAAATCAATTAAGTACTAGTTACATGGCAGGCTCTTAAAATCACAGAATGTGTGGGCTAGCCACATCTGACATGTACTGCATTTCTCTGCAGAAAAATGTAAATTCACTAGAATTTCCACATTCTTCTCAAAATAATAGTTGAAAGTTAAGAATAAAGGTGTATTGTATAATCTGTGAATTCTAAACACAGAAAACTATTTTTACCTCACTTTATATATAACTTTTGTTCAAAATTTCTTTGTGCATTGCCTTTTCAAATAAAAACACTGACTATGTGTGAGTTAAGCAAAGATTACTTGATGATCTCCAAGGATTTCAAGCAAAATCATAGTTGTCATTTTGAATTGTCATCTTAGTTTATAAAAACAACAAAGTGTTAGCCCACTACTCAATAAACAGCAACTTCTACTTCACAAATATACTTGAAAACATTTTCAAATTTGATATAACAAAATAGCAATAAGTATGAATTCCTTTAGTGTAAAAATAAAAAATAAAAGCGATGAATTTCATTTTAATTTCACAATATTCTAATTGTTTTTGGTCTCATGTAAAAAAAGATTAAATAACACATAATATAATTACCACAGATTTTTACCATATAATAGTAAAGTATTAATAATTATGCATTACTTTGTGCACATAGACTGTCAGAAAACAAATGCCTAGAGATAGAGTAACACTCTAGAAAATATATGTTTATGTTATCTTTTTGTGATTGTAAATTATTCGTTTGTTTTTATTGGTCCCTGTTTGTATTCTAAAGAAAGGGCCTGGAATTGGATGAGTTGAGAGGTGAGGGGATCTGGAAGGAGTAAGAGGAACTATGATCACAATATAGTGTATAAAAAGATTTCTAATAAATAAAATGTTTCTGATAAGCCATAACAACAGGAAACATTAGCTATAAAGTTATGTTATTGCTATTACCTCTATTCCCTAGAGCAATGCACGTCACCAAAACCACCTAGAAAAATTTGCAAAGATGCAAGATCTTGGGCCCTATCTATAATATATTTGCAGTGGGTCCCAAACACTTAAATTTGTAACAACTTCATGATGTCAAACAGCAGTTGGTCACACTGAAATCCACTGCTCTGGAACATAGACCAATAGCTATGAGTGAAATTTGGCTTATTTTTAATGAATCAAATTCTAATGGATCCTAAACACACTCATGCATTTATGCCTGCCTGCTGTATTTGCCTTAAAATAAGAGAGACACTTGTGATAGATACAATCTAGCCTACAAAGTCTTAAATATTCAGTATCTGGATGGCCAGAATGATATGATGGAAATCATGGCTCTTTATGGAAAATATTTATTAATCTGCACTCTCAAGATACTATGCATCTGTTTTCTAGTTGAGATTTTTTAAAAAAATAATACAAAGGGACACAGACTATTTGAGTACTTGTAAGCCAATGTTTCCCATGATCTTATAAAAATGAAGTTAGGTATTCCAATTCATTTTATATCTTCAGATAAACAAACTTATGATTCATGTATACTTTTCCAATACATGATTTTCTTTTTAAGGATCATTTGCTCATTTTTCAAGTATAAAACAGCTAGTAATTTAACCAAAGGAAACACTGTCAGCCAATACCTGCTGCACAATTGTTGTTAGTTCCAAGCAGAGTTGTATGACGTTATTTCTTGTGACTGAATAGTCTGTCACAGCAGCGAATGGTGACCTACAAAGGGAAAACAAAGATGGTGGCCATTAAAAATGAAATAGTATAACAAACAAAATATTTGGGACTCATTTAGATTAAAATGAGTGAAATTAAGAATTAAAATTTAGAAATATGTAATTTTCTTTCTATCTATCAAACTTTTCTTTATAGATTCACTAATATTTAGTTGTTTGATGCTTTTTTTACTATATCTAATACAAAACAGCAGAAAATGAAAGCTTAATCAAAAACAGTACTCCAGTATTTACTTTCCAAAGAAACCCAACAATTTAATGACATTTACCTGAAATTCTCATAATTAAAGGCTATCAATAGTAATAAACTGGGTTACTGATGGCTTACTATATGTGAATTACTATTCTAATTCGTAATATACATACAAACTTAATATTCACAATAACTGTTATAAAATAGGCATTCCTTTAATATTTCCATTTTACAAAAGAGAAAAACAAAGGTAAATAAATATTTAGTGACTTGTCTGAGAAACAGAATGAGTGAATGTGGAAAATCGTGTGGGAGAGCTAATGTTCAGAACAGAAATCTGAATCCAGAGCCCACAGTCATATGCAATTAAACACTAACATAAATTTACCTAGGGGTTATCATTACTCCAATCTCTTTTAAGGACAATGAATTCAAGGAATTGTTCATTTCATCTAAGCTGACAATTTTATATATAAAAAATTTTAAAACAAGACACTTAGCAATATTTAATGGTGGTAGCTAAACCTTACAAATCAAATATATACCAAAAAATCAAATTGTTGACATTTGTTCATCATCATTCATAAGGGAATTTTATACTTAAAAAGTAATTAAATTTTAGTTAATGAAATGAAAACAAAATCATATACATTACAGTGCACTTTAAAGATTCACAACTGTGGTCATGGATACTAATCTTTTCACTTTTCTAGCATTTAATTATTGTGCTTTGTTATTATATGTGTATACTTTTCAGGACATGGAACATGGAAAGATGGTTTCAGCAGTTAAGAGTACTTACTGCTATTCCGGAGTACTTGGTTCAATTCCCAAAACCCGCATGGTGGCTCACAACTCCATTTCGAGGAGATCTAATATTTTATTCTGGCCTCTGTGGGCACTACATGTGCAGGGTGTGCAAACATGCATATAAATATAGCATTCTTACACATAAAATAACAATAAATGTTATAAAATTTTTTTTGGTTTTTTGAGACAGGGTTTCTCTGTATTGTTTTGGAGGCTGCTCTGTAGACCAGGCTGGCCTCGAACTCCCAGGGATCCGCCTGCCTCTGCCTCCCGAGTGCTGGGATTAAAGGCGTGTGCCACCAATGCCCGGCTAAAAAATATTTTTTAAAGATTTCAGGATACACCAAAAAAGGGGGTTTGTGGAATGTTAGAATAAACTCCTGCTATGTAGAATACATATTTTCTTTGAAAACTAAATATATAATAAACACATACCCACTAACAATATCTAACAGAAGTTTATATTGCTCATCAGGAAAATAAATATTTCTCATCTAACACACTGTAAATAACATTCTACTACATTTAAGTTGGTATCCATATGGTCTAATATTTCTATGGGCCAAGGAGAAATACTGATGAGATATTCCTACAACCCAAGACAGAGGAGGGAGCAAAGTCCAAGTTCCCCAATGTACTGTTAGGATTTAGAATTTTGTCATAATATTCTTTTCCCATAATCACTGAAGATTAAACATTTATTCACAGAAAAAGGTAAAAGAGAAAACTATCCTGCAGCTTTTCTCACATTATATTCAACCAAATAATTCACAAATATCCTGGTTTCCTAATCTACCACATGCTTTATCCTATTTAATCTCTAACAACATCTGCCCTTATTGACAATTGCATTTTTTTCCTTCAAATTCTTTTTTGGTTGTTCCTACAACACTACTTTCACAAATGCCTTTTTTTCTGATTATACTTCTATAATTGTTTTCATTAGCTGAACTTATTTTTTTTTGATTACTCTGCATTGCTCTAACTGTCCCGGGTCTCCCTCTGTTGACAAGGCTGGTATTGAACTCAGTTCCTGCCTCTGCCTCTCTCTGTCTCTCAAGTTCTAGGATTAAAGGCAAGTGCCACCATGCCCATATTGAGCTAAACTTCGAATCATTTTTCAATTGTTGATGGATCACAGGGCTCTTTTCTTATCCCACATCTATTACCTCAAAAACATTTTATAAAGTGTACAGTACAAACAAAGATCTTTTCTAGATGACTATGATATTATTGAGCAAAGTATAAGAAAAATCGCTGCTGTCTTGAACAACATATTATAGAAAGAACAGTCAGTAAGAACAATAGGTCTAGTTTATAAGTGGAGTCATATGGTATGTACGGAGGTCTAAGATTTTGAAAATCAAGTAGGGAAATCAAAATATATTCTAATATTTTTCATACATCTCTTATTGGATAGTGTGTTTGTCAATTTTGATTATTCACTGAGTCAGCCAAGTCAGATATGGCTTATTCATTCCAAATATCCTCATTTTCTGATCCTCCAGCTTTTATTTGCTCCTAGGCCTTATTTATCTACCCAAACAACTTGAACATTCTCCCATTCTTATTATTGTTTCACTAATTAAAATCTCGTAGCAGTGGAGAAGACAAACCATATAGTCAGATTGTCAGGATCTATCAAGTTCTAGCCCCATTTACTCATCATTTGCTTTTAATTTAACCAGGCTAAATCCTCATTTGTCTACTTTTGACTAAATAAGTATGCCTAAAGTTATTTATGCCAAAGAGTCACCACCATGATTATCATAAGAATCATTATCAGTAGTAGCAGTAATTCCTTTTTCTACCATTGGTTTTCTCCAATCTTCTGCAACATGCAATCTTTGGAATTCACAAAACAGAACAAAGTGTTAGTAAGTATTAGTAAGGTCAAAAATTTATTTTTTCATTTTGTTTTACTTTATTTATTTCTTGCTTTTTTTGAGACAAGGTCTCAGTAGATAACTTTGACTGGCTGCCCTGTGTAGACCAGGCGCTGATCTGGAACTCACAGAGATCAACCTGCTTCCCAAGTGCTGGGATTAAAAGCATGTGCCACCAAGTTCAATATTTTTTCTTTTAAGTCAAGCTGATAAAAGCAAAATTAATAATCAAGCCTGTCTGTTGTTGGATTTTTCTATGATGAAAAATAAAAAGCATTCATTTCTTTTTTCAATTCATAAAAGTCTCTGTAGAACTTAAAATTTATCACAATTTATCTTTTTGTGTTACTGTTAGGTACTTATTTAATTTTTATGGTCAAAATACCAAATAGCCTCCAGGTTAACTGAATACTGCTATGTGATATAGTACAAAATGCACACTAAACTATTTTCTTTAGGCTTTTTGTCATATTGTCACTTGCTATGAAATAAGCATATAACATTCATTGGATGACTGCATGGATTGCTGTGGGTGTTTGTACATGGAGGTGAACTGATGCTTATCAAGAGTTGTATTGATGATAAAATGTAATAATATATAATACAACAGAATCTCAAAAACCTACATAGTAAAAATCAGAATATGTATACTCACACCTACCATTAGGAAACAAAAGCATTCTCTAATATCTCCATGCAATAGCATAATGAAAAGAAAATATAATGGAATTTACTTAAATCATTTTATTTTGGGATGAAGAAATGTACAGTTGCAGGGCAAATAACAGTGACAGAAAGTAAAACTAAAACTGATGTGTTATTTAAGCATTAACAGTTAAGCCATATCTTACTGACCAGAGGCAATATTTACTATATATGAATATATGGAGGTTGTTTTAGCTTAGAGCACCATTCCTTCGTGAAGGGACGGGTAGGAATTCAAGATGTGAACGTGGAGGCAGGAAATGAAGCAGAGGCAATGGAGAAGTGATGCTTATACTGGCTCAGTCTCCATGGTTTGCTCACCCTGCTGTCTTTTTTTAATTTATTTACTTATTTTTATTACATATACAGTGATCTGTCTGCATATTTGCCTGCACACCAGAAGAGGGCACCGGATCTCATGATAGATGGTTGTGAGTCTCCATGTGGTTGCTGGGAATTGATCTCAGAACCTCTGGAAGACCAGTCCAGGGGCTTTTAAATTTTGCGCCATCTCTCAGGCCCCTTGCTGCTCTCTTTTTTATGGTGCAATTTAAAATATGTTATTAATTGAAAGCTATATGATTACCCCACAGCCAACATTATCCTAAATGAGAAAAACTGACAATCCCATTACATTCAGGAACAAGATAAAGCTGTCCATTATCCCCACTCCTTTTCATTACAGTGCTAAAAGCACTAGCTGAAGCAATAAGGCAAGTGTAAGAGGAAAAGAAGAGGTCAAATTGTTTCTATTTGCAGATGATATACATGATATATTGTAATTCTACAAGAAAATGCTAGAAACAATATTTAGCAAAATGGCAGGGTGTAAAATCAACTTACAAAAATTTGTATTCTTATTAGATATCAACAACAAGCACACTGGCAAAGAGACCATGGGCATACTCCCATTTACAATAGCATTAAAAATAATAAAATATCTTCGATAAAACCAAAAAGGGAGTTAAGAGGAAGTGGAAGACCTCTACAGTGAAAAATTCAAATCTTTGAAGAAAGACGTTGGGAAAGACACTAGAAAATTAAGATACCCATATTCATGAATCAATAAAATTAATATTGTGCAAATGACCATCCTACCAAAAGCAATTTACTGATTCAATTAAATATCAAAATAGCCACACATTTTTTCACAGAAATAGAAAAAAATCACCCTAAAATCCACATGGAACTGCAAATTACACTGAATGGCCAAAGCTATTCTGAGCAAAAAGAATACTGAAGGGGTTTCCTATTACAGACTTCAGGTTGTACCTTCTAGTAATGTCAGGAGCTGCACCCACAAACTCTCACCAACATGACTGCTTAAACATGAGACATGCCAAAGTGAATAGGGAAAATCCCACAAGGCTCCAACTCTACACAACAAACTACAGGCACCTAAAGAATGCTGAAAATGCGAGAAATTGTCTTCCCCGAGGAACAATACACCAACTTGTCCAATACCAAACTGTCAGTCTTGAAGCAAACATACATATAAGTAACATTACTCAGACAGAGCGTGTTGTATTTAGGATTATATATGTATGTACATATACAGATATGCATGCGATAAGAGCTAATTAAAAAAGAGGCCATAAATTTGAAAGAGAGCAAGGAGGGAGGGGAGGGTATATGGGAATGTTTGGAGGGAAGGAAGAAATATTACATGGGAATGTTTGGAGGGAAGGAAGAAATATTGATATAATATTATAATAAAAAATAAAACAATAAAGCAGTAAAATACTATAAAACATGGTATTAGCAATAAAACAGACATGTAGAAAAATAGAACAAAAGAGAAGGCTCAAACATGAACAAACATAACTTCAGCCACTTAAAATTTGACAAAGATGCCAAAAACATTCACTGGAGAAGAATAACTATCTTCAACACATGGCACTGGGAAAACTGGGTGTCTGCATCTGAAAGACTGAAATTAGACTCGTATCTATTACCTTGCACGAAAATACAAATGGGTCAAAGACCTAAATCTGAAACCTGAAAATTGCTGGAAGAAAACAGGCAGTGGCCTACATGATACAGGTGTAGGAAAGTACTTTCTGACTAGGACTTCAGTTGTCCAAGAATTAGACCAACAATTGACAAGCAGAACTTCTTTAAAATAAAAAGATACTGCACAGGTAAAGGAACAATCAACAGGGTGAAGAGGAAGACCACAGAATGGGAGGGAATCTTTACCCGTAACACATCTGACAGTGGATTAATATCCAGATTATATAAAGAAATTTTTAAAAAATCACAAACTCGGGCTGGAGAGATGGCTCAGCCGTTAAAGGCTAGGCTCACAACCAAAAAAAATCACAAACTCATTTTAAAAGTGGACCTTGGCACTGGACGATGTTCTCAATAGAAACAAATATCTAAGAAATATCTCTTGGCTCACCACCCTCAGCAACTGGGAATTGCAAATTAAAACAATTTTGAGGTTTCATCTCACCCAAGTCAGAATGGCAAAGACCAACAAAACAACTCACATCACCCACTGTTAGTAGAAATACAAACTGGTACAGCCAGACTAGAAGTAAAAAACTAAAAATAAACCTACCACATAACCAACTATACCACTCCTTGGCATATGCCCAAAGCACTATTTATTGTCGTCCTATTTACAGTCTATATTTTAAAAATTAGACCCTGGTAAATTATTCAGTCCCAAGTGGTCATCTCCAAACATGTATACATTTGAACAACATTAAATGGACTCAACATTTAATTACATTTGTTTGTGTGTGTCTCTGTGTGTGTGTGTGCACATGTATAGACATCTAACAAGAATAATTAAAGAAGCCATGAAGTTAAGAGGGACGTGGGAAGAATTAGAAGGAGGAGAGTGTGGAGTAGAAATGACATAACTATAGTTCTAATATATGAAATTCTCAAAACATGTTAGAAATACATTTAAACAATTGATCAGTGTAGTTTAAATAGGCATAACTAAAATTTCATAATGTTATACTATGTTGAAAATATACTTTTATTTATTTTTTCAAAATCTTGTAGTATATAGTTTAGTTTCCAAATCAGGATTGAATACTATAACTATATATTATGTATTGATATAATTTAGATGATATAGAGCTAGGTAAAATCAACTTCTACTTTACGAGTACAAAACATAGCTTGCATTGGGGTACTTGGGAGACTGAAGCAAGTGGATCTCTGTGCTTTCCAGGACAGCCAAGATTATATAGTGAGTCCTTGCCTCAAAAAATAAATAAACAAATAAACAAAGTATGAAAACTTTATTTTAAATATAAGGTCTCATTTTTACTTTTATTTATTTTAAAGGACACAGTCAACAAGACAAAACAGCAGCCCACAGAATTGAAAAAGAGCTTCAGCAACCACACAAATGACAGAGGGCTGATTTCCAAAATATACAAAGAGCTCAAGAAGCTAGTCACCAAAACACCAAATAATCCAATTTAAAAGTGGGGTACAGAATAAGAGAATTCTCAATAGATGAATCTAAAATGGTTGAAAGACACTTAAGAAATTGCCCAACATCCTTAGCCAACAGGGAAATGCAAATCAAAACAACTCTGAGATGCCATCTTGCACCTACCAGAATGACTAAAATAAAAAACACCAGTAACAGTTTATGCTGGAAAGGATGTGGAGAAAGGGAATACTCCTCCATAACTGGTGAGAGTGTAAACTCACCTGGCCACTTTGGCAATCAGTATGGTAGTTTCTCAGGAAAATGGGAATTAGTATACCTCAAGATACAGCAATTCTACTCTCAGGTATATACCAAAAGGATGTGCATTCATACAACAAGGTCTCATTTTTTAAAAAGCCAATTTGTATCTCACTGATGTTCCTTGTTGGAGGAATTTTGGCAAGGGTATATTATCAGAATTTCTTCTAAGATTATTCAATCACAATCCAGGGTAATGAAAATAGAGAACTCATTTAGTCTATTTTAATTGCAATCCAAGATCAGGACAAGATCCAATCAAATATAAAAATTTAATATTTTCCATTTCAGATTATTAATTTTATGATATGATATACATTCCAAGAGAAATGTACAAAATCAGGGCAAGGAATCAATCAGTGCATGCTAACATCTACTTACTCATTGCTCTTTCAATACGGTCATTACCAAAAGGAATGAAGAAATCCAGGAGAAACTGTACATGTTGTTACAACAGGCAAACAGTAATTTTGTTTATAAAACAGCAAAGGGATTTTGTGCTTGATAGAGATAAATTAGTGATTGTCTATTTATCTACATAATAATGGCACAAAACTATTATGAATCATAACCAGATATTAATTATTTTTATTCCTCTGCATAATGTTTTCAAAAGAAAATGCTCTGGTACAAACTGATGCATGAAGGGGAGTTACTTAAGAAACATGGAGAAGAGTGTACCTGTCCAACCAAGCAAGGAGACTCTTGGCTGCTCCAATCAGATCCACAACTGAGGTCAGAAAGTCATTTGGCAATTTTCTGCTGGTCCTTCCATCATAATGACCACTCCTTCTCCTTCCTGTTATGAAGTTCTGTAGATTTTTGGCGGATGCATTCAACTTGTGAGAAAGGGTTTTTAGATTTTCTGTTTCTAAGCCATAATTCTGAATAATAAAACAGAGAAAAATATATTTAAAGTCAATATTCACTTTATTTTAAGAAGTACTGATATAAAAAAGAATTTACAGAGGTAAAGAATTGCTAGGTAATGGCAGTGGGACAATGTTAGAATTACAAATGAATAAAATAGATTTCTGACTTAGTGGAGCTCACAGTCAAATGCCTGCTTGGGTATATCAAGGAAAACAATTATAATAAAGATTTGCTAGCAAGTTTTTATATCAACTTGAAACAAACTGAGAATAGGGAACTTCAAATGAGAAAATGACTTCATAATCTCTGGCTGTCCACAGGAAATCCTGCACTGGTGGTCCTGGGTGCTATGAGGTAATAGGCTGAAGCCAAAGCAATAGTGGCACATATCTTTAATCCTAGGATGTGGGAGGCAGAGGCAGTTGGATCTCTGTGAGTTCAAGACCAACCTGGTCTACAAAGCATACTCCAGGACAGCCAGGGGCATTAACACAAAGAAACCCTGTCTCTAAAAACAAATGGAAGGAAGGAAGGAAAAGAGGGAGGGAGGGAGGGAGGGAAGGGGGGAGGGAGGGAGGGAGAGAGAGATTGAGGGACAGAGGGAGGGAAGGAAAGACTGAAAGAAAGAAAAAGAAAATAGGCTGAGCAAACCACAAAAAAACAAGCCTGTAAGCAGGACTCCTTAATGGCCTCTGTATCTGTTCCTGTTCACAAGTTTCTGCCCCTGTTTGAGTTTCTGCCCTGACTGCCTCAATGATGAACTGTGATATGAAAGTATAGCAAAAACAAACAAACAAATAACAACCCTTTCCTCCCCAAGTTACATTTGGTCATAGGGTTTCATCACAGCAATAGAAATCCTAAACTAGATAGATGTTATTGAAAGAATTTCTTCAAGAACACAAAAACTGCTATATGAGATATACTGCCCTATTTATTACCTATATGTTCATAGACTTGGCCACTAAAATGTGCACTAGGAATCAGTCATGATTTAGAATGAATTCAATATAGTCTAGTCTAAACGAATTAGGATTAAATCCATATCTCTTTTATTTATATACATGTAAAATATTATGTATGAAAGAAATGAAGGAATACATTTATCATTTTAGAAAATAAAGTTGACTAAATCTTCATTAGAAACAAATTCTCATCAAACGCCTAACTAAAAATTCAACCTTAACACCATAAATTTTACAATGTCTATTTCATTTTAATGAGTCCTTAATTTGAATGAGCCATGCAGCAGGTATTCAAATTAACAACACTTTTCTTTGTAAATATTGAATTCTAAAATGTTTGCTTTAATGAAAGTTTTTAGAAAGCAGATTATTTTGAATAAGTTAAGCAATTATGGTTTAAAGAAACAAAATCTTAGCAACTCCAGACATGTTTTCCATACAAATATCTATTATATGAAAAGTATATGTAAGAGGAAATGAAAATCACTCTTATCCTGATTTTCCCTTATAATTCTATAATTAATTCCCAATAAAAATACATTGCCAGCACACAAACTAAGGGCTACAAAATACACTGTTCACACTTTATGCTTTTACTGTTACAGATAATATTTGTAGTTTAAGAATGATATAGTATCACAGCTTGAAAGAGTTAATGAAACTCTAAATCATAAATATCTACTTTTTTGGAATAACATTGTACATATAATTAGTATATATGATGCTCAATTGTACTAGAACAGAAAATTACTGGATAAATTCTTAATCTTTGTTAGCAGCTACAGTAACTGTTCCCCATAAGCACTAGCTTCAAAGCAACAGAGATAAAAACCAGCACAGCTTAAAAGAAACAAAAGGAATTTGGCAATTTTTCTATCTTATTTACACTAGGAACAGAAACTTCAGAATCAAAGACAACGTAAATATGAAAATACTTACTATGTAAATAGAAGAACCTATAGTTCTTTGGAAGTTTTTTTCACTAAGACATTAATTTAATGTCCTGTACATGCTAACTACTACACAGAAAATTAAAGAAAAATGCTACTAACTAGGCAAGAAAATCTTCCTTGGAAGAGACAACTGGACAACCATAGAACTAAGTAAAATTTACATGTCAGTATTTTTGTATGTATGTGACCTTTCTTATTGTCATATATAATCATATAATATCATGCAAACCAACACTTTCATTTTTCCCTCATCACTCCATGTTCCTTCATACTTGTCTTTAGACATGAAATTACTTCTTTCCAGATAACTTTTTAAAAAATTGATGTACTACTACACTAGTTCATTTTTAATTTAAAGTTTTTGTTTTTATTTCATGTGATGTATATGGGTATTTTGCCTGTATGTATTTCTGTGTACCAATGTGAGCAATGCCTGCAGAGGTCAGAAGTGGGTATCAGTTCCTCTGGAATTGGAATCATAGAAGGAACCTTCTATGATGCTGGAATCTTACTCTGGAAGAGAAGCCAGTGCTCCTAACACTTATGCCATCTCTCTATCCCCCAACTAACATCTTTTTTTTGCTCAGAAATCATCTTCCCAATGAACAAGAGCAATGCAAACATCACCTACACTTTCGACATCCTTCAGTAATGTTTCCTAGAGTTGCTTTTAAATCTATATTGTCTTTACCAACTTTTGTCTTCCTTAATGGGATATTGGGGGTACAGACCATGTATTTTTCATGTTGGCATTTGCCCTGGTAGCATATTTGAAGATGAATGTACACTTGTTGAAAGAAGATATAAATAGAAGAAAAGGAAAACAGCATAAATCAGTGAGGTAAGACAGATTTCTATTTCTAACAGTGAATTCCTGATCTAGTCAGCTCAATTTGTTGATGAGGTAGTTTGCCTCCCAAATTTAAAATGGAAATGTAGGTACAATAGAATTCTATGCTCATAAATTTACTTTATAGTTACTAGAAAACATCTGTTGGATTCACTGGACAATGTCTATACTTCTGACTAGCTAATATGTAGCCACTTGGAAAGGATGCAAAGAAGTCCATTATCTTCAGTATATTACCAGATGACTGCTGAACAAACACAGAAAAACTAAAGGAATTGAATATTTTGGCATTATTTTTTCTCTGTACCAACTTCCAGAAAGTGTAACTACATGATGAAGTATTCAAATTATGCAACAATAAGATGCTGAAGCTTGAAGGGTAGACATAACAAAGCTTAGCATATGAAAAATTCAGCACAGCTGTAGGACTCAATTTTAAAAATAGCCAACACCTAACCTATGATACTGTTTTTAAAGTTTAGGTTAGCCAACCTTATATGTGAGCCAAACTCCAAATGTCTACAAGTCTAGATGAACCTCCCCTAATTTTGTCAATCATGCCATCTTTTCTTCATCCAACTGATAGTGCAAGAGTCTGTCACACATGAGGAGCAACTGTTATCAGATACATACAAATACATGTGCGTGTGTGTGTGTGTGTGTGTGTGTGTGTGTGTATGAACATCAAGTTCTGAAACACTGAACTATCAATGCCATAAGATGCAGCAAACATAGACTGCTGGGTTATTAGCCCTCTACAGTCTACTTCTACCTCTGCAGCAACTTCAGGGCCAGCCAGATATGAATTTGGAGATTAGTCTTCTAAAGTATGCTTCCATTTTATTACCATTAGTACAGTCTTTTGCTTTAGGCATAATTGCTTCAACCAGATTCAGGCAGATTGTGAGTCCATATTCTGGTCTTAAGCAATCAACCTCAATTATCTCCCTCCCTCCCTCCCTAACTCTCTCTCTCACTTTCACTCTCTCTCTCTCTCTCTCTCTCTCTCTCTCTCTCTCTCTCTCTCTCTCTCTCTCTCTGTGTGTGTGTGTGTGTGTGTGTGTGTGTGTGTACATTATTTCATCTATATGGAATACTATTCTCTTGCTTCTTCTACCTGCCAATCATGCTCATCTTCCATTAGATTATGTACTATGCGCCCATGTAGCTCAGTAAAAACAGTTATTTTATTTTTTCTGTATTTCTACAATATTTACCACATATTCTATATTTTTGGTCATTACAGCATCAGGATTGATTATTTACATGCTATGTTCCTCAAATATGTTTTAAAAGGGGACAAAAATCAAGGCTTATTCACAGTTGAAAAATTACTATGTATATAAATTGACACTTCAGTTGAACTGTATTTAATTTATCTACTTGATTTCATTAGTCATCATCTCATTACTGTATACTGTGTGCTAGACACTGAATTAGGCACTATAAAAACATAATTCCTCATTTTTCAGATCATTACAAGGAGATGGTATAATTATCTCAGCTTTAAACAAACTATGGCTACAGTGAAATGATTTGCTCATGAGTTTCAGTAACTGGTTAAGTCAATATTCAAATTCAGGCTCTAGCATTATGTAGATCTCATTTTCATCTGTATGCACATAGTTCTCTTGTCTTACAAATAATCAAAAGAATTTAAACAATTCAGATTAGTTTTACCTTACTCTATCTAGAGGAAATCTATTACTACATCTAATATCAGAATATCTAATATGTTATTAAAAGCTGAGGAAGCTTATTTTGACATTCATTTCTCTAGACTTAATAGTCACTGTTTGTTAAATGAAGAAAGTAACCATACAATGTATGATATTTTATTTTCACTGATTATGTGTAGAAATAACATATAATGTGTTTTAAAGCTTTCCAAAAACAAGATAACTTAATATTTCAAATTTTAGAAAAATTTGATTTTACAACTGATTACATATACTTGAATATATATAAACACCAAACACCACTGCTAAGCTCCAACTTATTTTTCACATGGTGAAATAAATTATTACTAGTTAAGGTTAACCTTCTTTGTAATTTTTCACTAATGGATAAAATTTACATAAGAATATACATACTATACTTAGTACAGAAATATACTTAAAAATGAGAAATTTTCCCTATCCACATCTAGATTATATTAAAAGAGAGAGAGAAAGGAAAAGTCAAATAAATGGACAGTGGAAAAGAGACATTAAATTTTTCTTTCCACCTGGTTTCAATCCTTACCAGTGCACACAGAAGGTCAACTGCCTCCAAGATCAGCTCCTGATGGCCAATACGGCTGACTCCCAGATCTTCTAGTTCCTGATGTGTGATGCGTAACAGTTGATCTCCACTGATCTTCTCCCTCTCAAAGTTCTTAATATACTGCTGCAAACAGTCATCAAGACCTACAAAATTAAATTAAAAAGAACAAAATAGGAAAAAAGTGTTGAAATAAACCAGTTGGTGGGCCCGTGAAAAACAAGCAATAACGCCCACCATGTCACAACTGAAATCCATTTTGATACTGGACTAACCAAATAATCCATTTCTTCTCAATCTGTATGTGAGCTGTAGCAAAAATATTAGTTATAGTCTTCATCATTAGATTTCTATTCCTATTCAAACATTCCCAGGTAATCACTGAAAACCTTACTTCTCTTCTAAGTTCTAATTTCAGACAAATATTGAGAAGAATGAATATAAACGGGTTCCCCTACTTCTAGAGTTATCTGTATTACACTGTTTATTTTCTTTAACACTACTTCAGAGGGAGGGGCCTCCATTCTTTCTACATAAGCCTAATGAATCTGTCTTCCTATACTCTATCATAATAGGACTACTTCAATAATTTTCAAACTAAATAGTTTGTTTCAATAAATTTCTATTCTATTACATTTAAAACTTCGCTATCTTAAAGATAAATTAGAAAAAACTTTTTAATTTCCTTCCGGCTGTATTCTCTGCCATCCTTTTTACACCTAAGCAACTTGCCTTTATTTTCTTTTCTTTAAACTGAAATGGATCTCCTAATCTATTATCATTTGGAATTAACTCAAGTTTATACTATATAATCACATTAGATTTTATGCTCTTAAATAAATTTTTTCAAGATTATCCATGGCAATTAATAAGTGATTGGCCAGCCTACAGCCTTTGTCTAATCATCTATAAAAGTAGACTGGTACAAATGGCAAATTGGAAGAATTATCAAGAAAATTCAATAATTACCACAAACTAAGTGGTATTGATTATATCAAAAAGGTAGATAAAGTTTCACAGTGTGCTACATTTTATCAAAAATCATGAGGGAGTAGAAATCATATGCAAGTAGAGGGGCAAAAAGAGATATGGTTAAAACATATATACTAAGTAAACAAAGTCCTGCAACAGAGATATATAGCCCCAAGGGAGAAAAACAGTCCTAAAAGCAGTCTGTTTCCTGACAACATGCAGTTATCTTCAGGTTGCTATATCAAGTGAAATAATTTGAGCCTTCACCAATATTCACATAGCAGTAGTGAAACAAAGAATAATAATATTGGAAGACTACAAACTAACTAAAGTTATTTAAAGAATGTTTAAGAATATATTAATGGAACACATCATCTTGTTTATGATTTCTCTTCATGAGTAAGGAAAAAAGACAGTATTGAATGAGTGAAGTATCTTCAAAATAAGGGAAGAGAGCAGCAAGACACCTGGAAAATATGGATTGTTAGGTTTTCTTTCATTAAGATGTCAGATACTTGAAAGTATTGATATGTAGAAAAGATCCATTTATCTCTATTGAAACAGAGGAAGTGAGGAGGAAATAGTTACAAATGCAGGTAGACTATGATGATAAGATGATGAGAGAACTTCAAACTAAACACTTTAAGACTACTGTATAAATGCATATGAAGGTTCACTGGAAATTTATAAAGCAAAAGCAAAACATGTACATTGGTATTACCATTACAAATGTATGCTTAAGTACCTGAAGAGTCTGTACTAAATAAAGTGTGTGACAGTGTCACAAAGCAAAAGGGGATTTTTATTTGAAAAGGAAAATATCCATGTCAGTAACAGCCCTGAATACTAGTGATGGAAGAGCAAATACAACACAGATCTTAGGAAATGCATTTCTTTAAAGAGCAATATAGGTATACAAACTAATTATTACAACTTGATGCATTAAGGAAACTATTGAAGGCAGCAAAAGTATAAATGGATAGGATGTTCTGGGGAAAGTACATAGGGCCAAAGATATAATGGGCCAGACATCTAAAGATGGCTACAGAAAACTTACCTAAGAATGGGAACAAACATATTTCAGAGAGGAACAAATAACAAGATAGTCAGGATAGACAAGTATTAAATCCAACACAGCATCGCGGTCATATAAGGAATGAAACTATCCTGAATTTGACAATTTGGAGATCATCAGTTATTTTAGCCAAAGGTGTATTATTAAAACAATAAAAACAGAAGTCAGAAAGTGAGGTGCCTAGGTGTAACTTAGAAATGAAAAAGGCAAAGAGCATGCATAAAGAATATTCCTTCAGCAGATTCTAAAGTATTGGTAAGGATTAAGAGTATATAGGGAAGTGTCAAATAAGATCAAAGGGGCTATTGTATCAGTTTTAAACCTTGACCATGTTCCAATGTGTATATGGGCAATACAAATTGGATGTGATCTTTTCAATTTGAAGAGGGAAAGGGTTCTAGGATGGGAGTGTGGACCTAGGAGTAATGGGATGTTATTGTGATTGGGGTGCACTGTACAAAATTCCCAAATAATTATATAAAAATTGCTACTTTGGGAAAAAGAAATTAAAACAGCAAGATTAAATAACTCCCTAAGTATAGTATACATAGTAAGTAACTGACCAGAAAATCAGGACTAAAACCTGATCCTAGAGAATTTGAGATTGGATTTGTTCTGACTACATCAGACTACCTAAAGACTAAAAAAAAAATCCAACAATAAAGTGGATTACATTCTTGCAAAAAAGGCAGAATAATGGGCAGAGAACACTATAGTTATTTATATGAGACAAAATAACATTAGATAACAGAAGCATACTCCTTTTCACACAGGTGAAAACAATGCGAGTTAAAATTACGTAGGACAAAAATGACATGCTGGCATACTTCCAGGAAATGAGAAAACTGTAAAGTACCTGACAGACACACGTTCTAAAGCTGCATTCAAATGAACAAAAGGGAAAATACTGTCTTTAGTCTTTAGACAACACTGAAACCAATACAATACACGCTGACTTGGGAAACTTCTTTATTTTAGTCAATGCCATCATTTAGTCATCCTTCTGCATAAACATAGTTACTCTCTAACAAGTAACACACAATTCAATTTCACATGGATTCTCAAGAAAACCAAATAAAATAGAAAAAGAGGACAAGCTTCTTCTAGGCCTGTACTCAATAACCCTGTCCTAATTTCTTTTGGGAAAAGACTATGCTTTCAGTAGCTTCCTGTTATTTCAGAAGTAGAAATGCTGAGGAGCAATACTACTTTCTATATATCTGTATGTGTGTTCACTGTGTACCAAGCACTAATCTAAGTGTTGTAGAAATATCTTCCCATTTCATTTTTATCAGACTTTTTAATTGCATGTCACTACCTTGATTTTGTAGTAAGCATTGAAAATTTGGGGCCATGCCTATGATTCTGCACTTTACAAATGGTAAGGCAGGGCTCTAAGGCAAGTTTGTTTGCCCTGCTTTCAAATGCTACAGTGAACTGAAAATGGAGGAAAAGTGGAAAGGATTGTTTACAATCCTTCAAAGTAACCATGTTAATGATATCAGTCATTAATGTCAAAAATACTTCCCATTTCTAAAGCTAAAGATCTTGTTAAAACTGTTTACATTATGATTTCTATTAAAACACATTTAATGGTGTCATCTACATATGCAAAATTCAGTAGGACCATGAAAATTGAAAGTAACAAAAATATGGTTATCCAAATAATGGGAGCTAAAATAACAATGATACAAACTAGCACATCCCAATGAAGAATACAGATTTATTAAAGTGTGCAAAGCACTATAACACAAACTCTAAATGGTCTAGAGTTAATGTAAAGGAATAGATATGATTTAAAACAACCAATGGGTAAAAGCAAGTCAATCTTTCATATAAGACTATCTATTCTTGATGTTTAACTGAGCAAAAGAATTTCTTAAAGAAATATATACTCCCTACACCTAACCTGGGCAACACAAGAGACCCAACCCTATTGGTGGAGGTATGGCGAGACAGATCCAAAGAAATGAGTGTGGGAAACCTAGCCCCACCCCTCATCTGCCATATGGTGGCAGGGACTGGAAAGAGATATTCCCTGCCATCAATGCTAAGGCAGGTAGGTGGGAGAGTTGACCCTGTGGTCATAAGAGCAGGAGAGCTGTCCCTGACCACCACCATCTACCACACTTGGAAGAGCAGGCTCTGCACTTCGCCAGGGCAGCATAATGGAGCCAACACTGTCAGCACAGTTGTGCGTATAGCCAGCCCCAAAGTAAGCAAGCAAGGGAGCACTACTCCCATCAATCATCTGTCCTGTGACAGCATGGGTGGGAAAGAGTCGCTCCCCCCTTATCAGTTGCAGCACTCAGGAAATGGGCCCTGCCCCTCGCCAAGATAGCACAGCAGAGCTGCCTAATGGTCAGAGGTGAGGGTGACCCAGCCCTGATATTATAAGCAAAAACGAGCTGTCCCCATTACTCATCAGACATGTGGTAGCATGGACAGGGGAGAGATGCCCTCCCTCCACCTCCTGCGAATCAATGCCTGAGATAGGTAGGGGAATGGGCCCTGGGGTCATAAAAGCAGGAGGGCTGTCCCTAACCTTCACCAACTACAGCACTCAAAGAGTGACCCCTGTGCCGCATCTGGGCAACATAACAGAGCTGGCCCTAGTGGTGTAGGCTTAGAAGAGCCTACCATTGGATGTTAAAGCAAGAGAATTGGCCTCACCACTCGTTCATTGCTGCAAGAGGTGAATTAGCCAGGGCAATGCTGGTGGAAAGGACAGGATAGAATTGACTAGAGGACCAACCCTACAGCTGCCCAGGCCCAGACTCAAGGTTATTACTTGGCCTGCCCCATCATCTACAGAATAAATAAAGTTAAAAAGAAGAAGAAAAAGAAATATATATATTGTGCTCTATAACTAGTCATAATGGGTTGTCATGTCAAAAAAATCTTCAAATGTATTTCCTTTAATGATGCTACAATGTATAAGAATATATGATTCCATATAACAACATATTAATAGAACATATAATTCCATAGATTAGATAGATAGTAAAAGGTAGATTCACATTGTGAAATCTAAAAGTTTATATATGGGTGCCATAAATATTTTGGACATACACTACATGTTCATTCAGTGGTAAAATG